ACCAGCCTAAAGATGTTTTTATCTATGCCATTGAACAAAACATTCAAAGCTTTAGAGTTTCCAAGAGCTAAGGCCTCTTGCTCTTTGTTCCATTACTCTTCAAGAATCAACACATCTACTCCATCCTTGTCAGTATTCACAGGACGTTTCCAGCCTGAATTCGTAGCTCTCCAAGCCTTGTAGTCTATAGATTTCAAGAATGCAATCATCCTTGGTTTCCAATAATCATAATTATATCCATCCAGAATTGGAGGTCTATTAGTGAATCCTATATCTTTATCCATAGTACCAGAATTTGTTTTCCCTAGATCTCACCCAGATTTAAATAGGCAGGGTGCCTGCTCTGATGCCAATTGAAAATTCTGGCAAGCATACGATGGATGTTATTCCCAAGGTTATAACATCCACTGTGACATCTGCTACTTAACAGCTAATACTCAGTAATAATAAAAGCAGTAAATAACACATCAATTGTTTACTCAGTTCAGTTTCAACAACACTTACATCTGGGGGCTACCAAGCCAGGGAGGAAATTCACTATCAGTAGAATCAATTCAGAGTTAAACCTCCAGTTTACACTCCTCACTTAATCCCTACCTAATGACACTTCAACCTAGAGACACTCTAGACTTGAGTATACCCACTCACTCCCCTCAATCACACAACAGTGATATCAAACAATTACAGAAGACAATATGAAGAGACACTTCATACACACCTTGATCTTGCTTCACAACTTTGATCAAGGAACTCACGCACTCTTACTTCAAAGCTTCGAGTGAGACACAACCTAGAATCTACCTATTTAATGCAAATCATCCACCAGACAATTGCTTGGAGTACAAGTATTCCTAGATAGAATTCACACGTGAAGACTAGCCTTCTTCACTTACTAGGACTCTGCAATCTGCACTCTTTCTTCTTCTATCAGTCAAGTGCTCATGTTCAAGATTGCATCTTCTGATCTTTATAGCAGTTGTCAGTCCTTTTGGGCCTTGGTGCATTAATTAGGTTTTATCCATAACAAACCTATTCTCAAAGACCTGCACACTTGCCACTTATTTCAGGGATATTCTAGTTCGCCTAGGGCTTATCGAAAGTCTCCTGATATCCAGCTTGATCTCCTATTCTGTTTCCTAGTTTATAGATACCAGAAAAATAACCTTGCCCGCTGGATGTCATACGTTCAGTGTTATGACATTCAGTTTAACTAAGTTAACTTACCCTGCACACACTAAAGTTTTGCCACAAAATGCATCCAATCAAGACACTTACATTAGTGAATTGTTACGTATGGCGGGGTAGCGATTTTGTTGTGGCCTCAATCCTATGGTGGGGATCAGGTACGAGTAGTTAATTCCTATGGTGAGGAATTAGTGAGGCGTTATAGTGGGGTAGCGATTTTGCTGTGCTCTGGTTCAAGAGTGAGCCAAATCCTATGGTGGGGGTCCTGTATCCGATGATGATGGAATAGGGAGAAATACGAACCTAAGTGTTCATAACTTGGTACCACATGCATATTGAGTCAGTGCATTGCATTAACATTGCTTCTTGTTGATTGGTTCTCGTTGAGGATGATGATGTTGGATGACGAATTGTGAGTTATATAATATCCTTTTATATGATGATGATGTGATGGTTGTGAGTAGAATAACACGTTATTGTAAATGGTTATACATGTTTTTTGTATTTTATCTTTCACTTGTGTCATTTATAATTGATTATGATTACTCGCCCCTTCTATTTAAATGTTGCCTCCACGCGGATAACACACAGATACTCAAGAGTAAACTCCAAAGAAGTAAGTGGAAGCTAGCTATTGAAGTTCATTTCAAATTTCATTTTAAGTAGGAGGGATTCTGCTTTGATTCATGTAACACTGGGTTAGGGTTCACGTCTGTCTTTTTAATTTATTATGTTGTTTATTTTGAAGTATTTGCTAATAATTTTATGGTGATATTTTACGATGTTGAATTAAGTATTGACGAAACTTATCCTTTGTTGATGTTATGGATATTGGGCTTTAAGGCTCAATTTTAGTTGTGGAATTATAATTGAATTTCTTATGTTGAATTCGCTGCGTTGTTTTTAAAAGAACTTGACGTTGTAAACGCCTCATAAATGAGTATGTTCGAAATAGTATATGTTTTTGTGTAACCCGTGTTACAGAGCAGGATAATTGTGATGTTTCATGAAGTGTGACACCTTGTAGTTGTGTTTATATGATTAAATTAATCGTTATTTTCACGAGGTTTTTAGAAGGGCGTTACATAGATAAATGAAAATGCAATGCAATTTTAAGGCAAAACAAAATTCGGGTATGACATGTTTCACTCGTGATGATGTTGATTAGATTGATGAGCTGAAATTACAGTTAGCTAAATAATTTGCGATTAAGGATTTAAGCACTCTTCGATGTTTTTTTTTAATTGAGGTTGCATACTGACCTAGAGGTTACCTTCTTTCTCAATCTAAATATACTACCAACATTACTTATCATACTCAAATTTTTTATGCTAGATCAACATAGAGCCCCATTGAGCTTTATGTATATTCCCCATCTGATGGTGTTCCTATATCGGATCCCATTTTGTGTCATATTTTGGTTGGCAACTTGGTGTATCTTACTATCACCATACCAGATATTGCTTATGAAGTGCAATTGTCAGTTAATTTGTTGTTTCTCCTAATAAAATGCATTGGACAATTGTTCTTCCCATACTTTGGTATCTTTAAGGCACTTAATTTCAAAGTCTTTTTTTCCCTTCATCTTATTCTTTGGATTTACATGCTTACTCTGATGCCGATTGTTCCAGTGATCCCACTGATCGCAAGTATATTATAGGCTTTTATATTTTTCTAGAAAATTATCTTATTTCTTAGAAAAGCAAGAAGCAGGACACAATATCTCATTCTTCAACAGAAGCAGACTATCATGCTATGACAACTATTACTCAGAGATAATGTGGTTATGTTGTCTTATTTTTGATATGAATATCCCTCTCTCTAAATCCACTTCTATGTATTGTGATAAAAACACCATTCAAATTGCTCATAACCCAATCTTTCATGAACACACTAAACACATTGAGATTGATTGTCACTTTACTTGCCACCGTCTTCAACATGAAAACTATCACTTTACCATTTATTTATTCGTCATTGCAGATTGGCGACTAGTTCACCAAAACACATTATATTAAACATTTTTGTTTCTTAATTGACAAACTCGCAATGCTTCTTGTTGATGTATCACGACTTTGAGGAGGAATGCTATATAGTAAATTATATTAAGTGTAGTTTAGTCTTTTGATACTTTAGTATATGTGCTTTTTATTGCTTTGTACTGTGATACTTTTCATCATTCTTAATGAAACACTAGCCATTTTTTCTTCTCGCTTTCTATGTGAATCCCTAATCTTAATAGACCTCTAATATTAATATATCCAAACATTTTTAACATGGTATCAGAGTCATAAATGTGGAATGTGGGCATTTGACGCAAGCTCACATTAGACGTGAAAGCGAGTGTTGAATATGTATTTGTTTTGTTTAAGTTTGTTTGAACTCTCACATTGCTTAGGTTCTCAGGCTGTTGAATGTATAAATATATGAGGACTACTTCACCCTTTGAGTTAGCTTTTAAGATTGAGATCCAAATAGATTTAATGATCACAACTCCCTTTAAAAGTGGATTGTGTCGTTCTCAATGTAAATGCACATTTCTAAGATTGTGATTGGAACAATAAAATAATAAAATAAAGGATGAGAGAATGGTTAACGAGAGAAATTGTAACGAAAGTGTGCATTTCTTTTGATTGGAATACATGCGAAATTGAGATTAGAGAATAAATAACATATGAACCACACTTTTTTCTAACCTCTCCGTGACTTGGAAAGAGAATAAAAAGATTAACAATTACATTCTTAACAATTTTATCCTTCTACTTTAATACTTAATATATGAGGCATGTTTGTTTTTGAAATATTAATCTAAATAAAATAACAAAATATTTGAATGAAAATATTTCTGTTTATTTAATTAATTAAATATCAAATAAATAAAATTTTATTTAATTAACTATTAACTAAAAATGATAACTTAAATAATAATAAAATTATATTCAAATAAAAAATAAATTATTAAACATATTTTTTTCTCTTTTATTTCTCCCATCTTTCTTTTAAATTAAGATGTTAAATTTACTATATTTCTCCTCTCTTTTTCTTTTTACACATGTTTCTCAATTTATTCTCCTCTTTTCATGTTTCCTTCAATCATACTTTAATAGAGTTATCAGGTAGTTTGGTTTAGATGAAATATTCTACTAAAAAATCACAAATTCATTTATTATTTTATTAAATTTAATATTATTATAATTCTGTACAGATACATTTAATTAAATTGTATTAAGATAAATTTTTGTGTTATTTTATGAAATATTCCTTAAAAAGTGATATTATAATTTACTAATAATAATATGATTAATTATATACACAAATATTTTATACTACATATGCATAACTTTTTTTAAAGTAAAAAACATTAATTATAATTTATTTACTATAACTTTTTAGGCAAGGGGAGCGGTATCTAGAACATTTATTAAAAAATAAAAACGAGGAGAGAGAAACTAAAAACAAAAAGAAATGTTAAAAAAAACGGAAGAAGATAAAAAGCAAACTCGTCGAGTGTTGTGTTTGTTTTTAGCAATAATAAAAGAAAACGAACGGTGGTGATAGGCCTTGTTCTGTAATCTCAATCGCTCCTCCCTCCTCTCTTTTCCAGCGTCCGATTCCTTCTCCATTATCACCGATCTTACACACGCTCGCGCCAAATACAAATTCAGGTATAATAATATTAATAATATTACTATTATATCCCTCCCAATACTCCATAACACAAACCTCTCCTCTAGGGTTTCATTTCACTTGCTCATCGATCTGTTTCTAGCTTTACGATTCTTGAATTTCGCTATGTTTATTAGGGTTCCGACGATATGTCTGATGCTCCGGCGAGTCCTGGCGGTGGGAGTCACGAAAGCGGCGAGCACAGTCCTCGTTCTAACATCCGTGAGCAAGATAGGTTTCTTCCTATCGCGAACATTAGCCGCATCATGAAGAAAGCTTTACCTGCCAACGGCAAAATCGCGAAAGATGCTAAAGAGACCGTTCAGGAATGCGTCTCCGAGTTCATCAGCTTCATCACCAGCGAGTATGTTTGTTATATTATTAATTGTTTTTGATTTTCTTTTTACCTTTCATTCGTACAGTGATTTGATTTTGATTTTGATTTCGATTTCGTTGAATTGAAATTGTGTAGGGCCTCTGATAAGTGTCAGAGAGAGAAGAGGAAGACTATTAACGGCGATGATTTGCTTTGGGCGATGGCTACTCTAGGTTTTGAGGATTATATTGATCCTCTTAAGATTTACCTCACGAGATACAGAGAGGTGAATTCTATTTCAGTTTACTGTTTTTCAATTTTTTTAGGGGTTTTACTTTACAAGCTTTTCTGGTCCCCCCGGTGAAAATAAATGAGAATTGGGTCCTCTGACAATGTATTACTGAATTATTGTAAAGTTTTATTGCTGTTATGCTTTTTACTGATGGTAATTTTTTCATTGCTTTGTCGTGGGTTGGTTCGATTGGAAATGTTGCAGATGGAGGTAATTTCAAAGTCTTTCTTTTGTTAGTTGGATTGTTCTTTGTGATTTTTGTTTTGTTTGTGCACACATCTATGTTATGGTTTTGCAATTTGTTATGTTCCAGGGTGATACCAAGGGCTCTGGCAAGGGTGGAGACTCGTCTGCTAAGAAAGATCTTCAACAAGGTTCTAATTCTCAGGTAAAAAACATACACATGGATTATGCGTGTTTTTATTGTTGGAGAACACAACTACAAAGGGAAATAAAGAACAGAAAAACTGTATCTGATTTTGATATATTTTGTTGACATTGCAGCTTGTTCATCAAGGTTCTTTCTCACAAGGCGTTTCTTACACAAATTCTCAGGTAACACTACTCTCTTAAATGTTAGATTGTGTTGAAAGTTAATAAAAGAAATTGCCATGGTGGTTGTTAAATTATGAATTGTAACTTCCATATAAATAAATATACATTCTTGATTTTACATCAATAATATTGCCCCCTACTAACACCCTAATGCATAGAAATATTAATCGTGATGATATAAATAAAACGCAACTTACTTATACTTCCATTTTACAGAACTTTATATGTTTAAAAACCTCCCGTTTTCCATTTACAGTTTTCCTAGTTGGCCTTTATTTTTATGTTTCACACATTGTTTGTCCTTGTATTATTTTGGTTTGATATTTTTATCTACCCCTAGAAAAAGGTCTTTGTTACCATTAATGTGCCTGATAACTCACCAATGAGTCAGCTCCTTTTGGTTGGTAGCACACATCAATGCACCCATTAAAGAAAGTTGTGTGGGCTACAGTGTATTGTTTAGGTTCAAATCAACACTTTCTTTATCTTCTCTTTACTCTCCCACTTTCTTAAGCCCTTTTTGTCTGATTTGTGATTATTTAGCTTGTACTCCATTTATTAAAGGCTGTTCTTATGTATCTTCTTGAGCTCTGAGGTTGTTTGAGATTCTTCTGTCCACATGAATTATATAAAGTTATAAACAATAAAAATGCCAACACTGCCATATGGTGCCTGTGCGTTCTAAACATTCTTTTACAAAATGCATTAGGATTAAATGCCGTTTAGCGGTTCAGACTTGATCAAATTTTATTTTTTTGGCTAGTCAGCTTGGGTGTGAATGGGGATAATGTACGTGCTTGTTTCTGGCCTATTTTCTGAAGCACATGTGAAGGTCATATGATTCGTAACTTATAGAACCTATAGTTGCTCGAATAAGTAAATCAAGATATTTTTTGAAAATTGTTATTGGTACTAAACATCCTGTGCTCCTTATCAGCACATGTGACAAGGCTACAGCCACACCTGAAAACAGTGCTTCAGTTCTGCCCATTGCTATGTTTGGGAGGCCTTAAAAATACATATTCAAAATACACATTGAACTTAGTCAAGTCCATGCGATTATGGGATGGAACCAGAAAAGCCACTACTCAGATACCTAATATCTAGCAACCATGATCAGCAATTTCAACCACTGTTAACCATGCCACTAATGTGCAGCCTCGCTGAAGTACAGCGCCAGCAAAGAATCTGCAAATCCAAAATCTGCTCCAACATTTTGAGACACCTCCCCTCACTCACAAGTCACAACTAGACCCAAATTCTGAAATCCCTTCAATGCACTGTACCAATGCTAGACCTCTCTGGGCTTCTGATATCCTAATTTCCAAACAGCCAATTTATAATTTGATAATTTATGAACTCCAATTTTTAACTGATTTACCATTTAAGTCTAGAAGCCACTATTTAAACTAAATTTTTAGTGTGGAATGTTGGTTTTGATAGGATTTGTTACTCAACCATTAAGGTTGGAAGTGGTGATGTTAATTCAGATTAAACATTTTGGGACTGCTTTTCGCCACGAGTGGTCTGATTATTTTCTTGTGTTAGACTCAATAAAGAGAGCCTATCCTAAAATACCAGCTTATTGCGTGCATAATCTGATTGCTCATGTACTTCACTGTCTTTAATCCATGTGGATCATGGTATTGTATACCGCGTCATTAGTTGGTACCGGTGTCACTTGCTCATGTACTTCACTGTCTTTAATCCATGTGGATCATGGTATTGTATACCGCCTCATTCGTTGGTACCGGTGTCACTTGCGACAGAATCTAAATTACACATACTGTTACCCAGTTTTAAAAGTTAGCTTATAGATGGTCCAAAGGTCATAAGATGTCACTCTAAATTACATATACTGGTCCAAAGGTCATAAGATGTCACCTCTAAAGTTGCTTTGACCCTTGTACTACTTGAATTCTTATCAGCACACTCATCCCAAAAAGTTCAGTATCTGTTAACACACGTATCTTTCTGTTAGAGGCCCCATCCATGTTCGAGGAGCTATCGAACATTAAATATCAGTGTCTTTTCTATTGGGATCTGAACTGTAGTTTTGTTGCCTTGTGTTGAGACTAGCCTCTCAACCCAACTGCCATAAAAGAGCTCTGTGGCTTAACTATGCCTGCACATAGTATTAGCATTCATTACATGGAGAATTTTCCTCTTTTGTTTTTAAGTTTATATCAGTTTAAGAAATTTATGCTGATATATGCAATATAATGATTTTTTATATTGATATTTTTTTTTCTCTTCAACCTCAGGGTCAACATATGATGGTTCCTATGCAAGGCCCAGAGTAGGTTACAAGCCAATTGACCCTCTTTCAAGGGCTGTCTGCAGTGCTGGTAGAGAATACAAACTGCTCTCGGCATAATTTGAGTGTATTTTATGTTGAGTAATACAAACATAAGGCACATTAGTTCTTCTGTCCTGATTTTTTTTTTAATTTTTAAATTAAGGTTTGTATATTATGTCTGGATTAAAATTATTATTTCAAAGTTACATTTGTAATTTAAAGTGCTGGTGCCATGTTGGTCTGATTCCTTCTGGCGGCTTGACAAATGCTGAAGAATTTATGAAGCTGATTGTATGCATAAATTAGGGTTTTTAAAAACCTTTATGATGTACAATAATGAATGAAGACGGTTGAGTTTTTGAAGAGTTGTGGAATTTTCATTGAGTGAGGATTTTAAATGAGATTAAAATCTACTTCATTTGATTAACATTAGATTTGAAACAAAATGATTTGTGATTGGTTGATTTTATTTTAAAAGTTTGACGTATTAACCTAATGTGAAGATTGTACTTTAATCTATGACTTTTAGTTAGTCTTTTGGATGAGTGCTTCTTGATTTTCCAACTAATGATTGAAGTGTCCAAGTAAAAACAGAAGCCTGTTGGTCTTCTGGTTTGTTTGCAAGAATCCCAGTTTGAATCAGTGAACCCGGTGAGCATTTGATATGATGTCGCCTGAAAAGGCATTACCTGTGGCTGAAGAATTACGGAGCCCTGCTGTATGTGTGGGATGTGGTTGGTTTGGAGATTTATTGACTTAATCTGTAGGCAACAAGGTAATGAAATTATCAGGATCAGAATGCAAGTCATGTGTTAGATCCATGGGTGGAAGCCGGTTTGGATGCCAAAAGTCCTATATCCTGTAATAAATCAAGACGGTATTTTTTTTTGCATAGAGAAGTGCCTTTGGAAAAATTTGCTATTTCAAAACCTATAAAATATTTGAGTTTCCCCAAATCTTTTGATTTTGAATGTAGTGTCTAAAATAGTATTAACAGCCTGAAATTCTAATAAATTTTGTTCCTATAAGAATTATTAAGTCATCAACCTAAACAAATAACACTGAAGGAGTTATTGTGTTTTTTTTTATTTTTTTATATATTTTTTATTTATAAAAAGATAATACTATTAAGTCATCAACCTTCAAGAATGATGGAAGTAAGCTTTGGCGTTCCATTGTCTACAGGTCTGTTTGAGACTATAAATGGAATTTTTTTTTATTTTTTTATTTTTAAATTTGAAACAAGATTAGAGGGCTCGGTGAGAAGCTCGAGAGAATATTTCATGTAAACTTCTTCCAAGTCTTCATGGAGGAAGACTGTATTGATATCAAATTGGTGTCGGAATCAACTTTCAGGAGAAACAAGGGATAAAAGGAACCTAATAATTGCTATTTTGATAGCCGAAGGTTTCATAGTTGTATAATGCTTTAGTTTAGGTGCAACCTTTAACAACAAGACGAGTCTTGTATCTCTCTATGGTGTCATTGGCTAAATATTTTAATTTAAATATTTATTTACAACTTATGGCTTTCTTAAAGTGGGGAGGGCTGTTAAATCTCAAGTGTTGTTATCGTTGAGAGCTTTTACCTCTTTTTATATAACCTTTTTTCAATTGGGGTCAGATATAACAGCAGGGTAGGTGGGTAGGTAAATAAAGATAAATTAAAAAAATTTATGTGATGAAGATAAATTGTTATAAGAAATAAAATTAGATAAAGGTAAGGATATTTACTTGAATATATTTTTTAAATCGTGATTTGAAATTCGAATTTGAGAATCGTGATTTAAAATACAATTATTTTTTAAATTAGAATTTGAGTATATTTTATAAAAAATGTTTAAATATGCAGCGAAATTTCAAAGTAAGTAAATTAAGTGAAAAGTAAAAGATATAAAGGAAGAGAGAACGATACCAAAAATTTATAAAAGTTTGGTCTTAAAGAAATGACCTACTCCTCTTTCTGAAAATTAATTTTGAGAGTATCCACCAATGCTTGAGAGTTTTTAGAAGGTTAAGTCCACAAACTCCCTTGTACAAGAAAATAAAGTTTCAGGCTAACTTTCAACCAAACAACGAATTGATAAAAAAAACGGCTAGTCTTCACACCAAACAAAGAATAGAGCGTTGAGTGGTTAGTCTCTAAGCCAAATGAAGATTTTGCACAAAATGATCTCAAACTAAGATGGAGTTTTGAGTTAGCTATCATCTGAACTGAACCGAGGTTTTACGCAGACTGATCACGAACCAAATTAAATTTTTTATCTGGTTGATCTCGAGCCAACTGAGCTTTTAACTAGGTTGAACTTAGAAATCGAGTGAGATTTTACACCAGGCTAATTTCAAATAAATAGACATTTTAATTGGGTTGGGTTCAAATATTTTTTCACTAGTTATTCTTCACGAATCCAAAAGAGAGTTTTTCTTCAATGGCGGAGTTCAAAAACCAAACAGAGACTTATACTAATCCTCAATGACAAACAAAGAGTTTTTTCAATGGTTTAATTTCTAACCAAAATAATCACTTTCTAAGAAAGAATTATTTACACAAGAGAAAAAAAAATACAATCTTTGATAAATTTACAAATGAGCCCTCATCCAGAACAAAAATCCTCACTAAACTAAAAAACGCCTTCAAAGCACTACGGTAAAAATATGTGAGAAAAATCAAAATAATTGAGAGATTTTTAGAGAAATTAAAAGTGAGGTTTTTCAGGTTTTCTTGATGATTTAAAATGATAGAGAAACTCTCTATTTATGGATCAAAAAATGGTGTAAATTTGAAAATAATTTATTGGACAATTAATTGGGCAAATCGATTAAGCAGTGAAAACAATCGGTTATTGCTGCTCAAAATAGAAGGTTTAGATATAGAATAATTATCAATCTTTAAGAGATTGTCACAATCGATTATTGCTGGACAAAATAGAAGGTTTAGATATAAAATAATTATCAATCTTTAAGAGATTGTCACAATTGATTATAGACGCAATTGTTCATTATTTAATCGAGTAGGACATATATCTAATCGATTAGGAAATTGCAAAAAGTCTCCTAATTACTTGAACAATTTCCTAATCATATGGCTAGGCTATAAAAATGTTGTTTTGGTTATTTTAGTTAAAAAGTGGCAGACTTCTAAAAGTTTTAAGTATGTTGAGATTTAGACATACTACTTTCAAAAATGCCATTATGTCTTTACAATACACTAATCACTCATACAGACACGATCAGACGAACTTTCATACACACACATACACACACACACACACACACACACACACACACACACACACACACACACACACACACACACACACATACTCTCTCTCTCTCTCTCTCTCTCTCTCTCTCTCTCTCTCTCTCTCTCTCTCTCTCTCTCTCTCTCTCTCTCTCTCTCTCTCTCTCTCTCTCTCTCTCTCTCTCTCTCTCTCTCTGAACCTTTAAGTCTTCGCATTATCTTTGACTTTAGTTTTACACAAGAATCTTGTGTCTTCTTGATGAGACTTGACATATTTCCACGATGGTTACCATCATCTATGATGTTGAGGACTAAATTAGCGATGATCATTGTAACACCATACTCTCTTCATTCATTGTAACACCACACACTCTCTCTCATGAAGTATCAAGTCACTTCATGTCTTTATTTCTCATAAAAATAAATTAATTAAACAGCAGAAATTTCAAATAGTTCACTTCAACAACACTAAGGTGTCAAATACATTAAACTCCATAAAATCCGTGGTTCAACATGGATTAGAGATAAGATACGTAACAAATGGAAACAACACAAATGAAAATTAAAATAAATCCCAATTCCTCATGTTTTACGTATCAGAGTGACTCTTAAGACTCGATCAATAGCAACACATGCTCCAAGCACTACTCAGGTACCTGATTATTTGTACTCTCCAAGGAGCATAATCACAACTATATAAAAGGAATGAGAATTAAATTCAATAATTATACGGTGAAAATCACATGCTAAGGAGTAGTATTCACATAATTCACACAAATCAAACAGACATAGCGCATATACAAGTGCCACAAACATATTCAGCCTACATTCAATCATACATATATGCGATGTGACTTGAATGACAAAACACCATGTATGTAGTACTAATACAATTCATACATTTCACTCTTTGAACCCGATTCCCGTCGGAATTCAGATAAGTCGTACACGTTTCTCTGAACTACGAATTATCTTCACTCGACTCCCATATGGATTCTGGACGAGACTAAACATCTATCATGGATTTCCACCTAGGCTCATCTCCACATAACATGAAATGAAATGCATGACATACAATTATACATGATATAAATATAATCTATACATAACACACGATCCACATTAATCACACGTGAGCCGCATACTCACCGTAATTCCCTATGGAATTACCACCTTTGCTCGAGACTGTCCATATAACAACAATGTTATCCATGCAGACCTATCAGTCACACATCAAATGAAAACCATACACAAATTTACCAAGGATCACATCACATAAAAACCTAAGACTCGATCAATAGGAACACATGCTCCAAGCACTACTCAAGTACCTAATTATCTATATTCCCCAAGGAGCACAAACACAACCACATAAAAGGGGTGAGAATTGAAGGTGATAAAAACACTTAGAAGGGGGGTTGAATAAGGGTTTTGAAATAATTATGGCAATAAAAACAACACAATATTTTTATCCTGGTTCGTTGAACTCAACTAATCCAGTCCACCCTATCAAGGTGATTTGCCTTTATCCACAAGGACTTAATCCACTATATTCAAACAGATTATAGTGTCAACCACTAAGAACAACTATCTTAGTCTTCTCAAGAAATCCTGACCACAACTTGGTCTTCTTAAGGAACCTTTTACAAATTAATGTAAACTAACAAGTGTTTAAGATGCTTCTAAAAAGATATATCACAAAGTGTGATTTTTACACTTAGTTTAAGAACGAATAAAAACTATTCAGCTTTGAGTAAGAAAGAT